TTTTAAACATCGAGTTTATTTTGACATTCAACGAGATCGCTTGAATTTTGAATTTGATGACGGTTCGAATTTATCCACTTTTACAGCGATCAACATTGCGTTCGAGTAGAGTTACTAGTAATTACAAGCCTGATTTACATTTTTCTTGCGGTGTTTTTTGTCAATGTATTAAATATAAGTGCTTTGGGAAATAACATAATTATATTGCACGAGTGAAAGAGTTTGGTGAGACCGTCACAACACGTTTTATTTATTTCCAACACGCGTGGTCGGTGCCTCTGATTGCGTTTATTTTGTATTTTTGTTTTCAAAATGTATCACTGGCTGCGTTTGTTTTGTTTTCCTCAACAAATTAACTGTTCTGAGATCTTTCATTTTTCGTCCGGCTGCTGCCAATCCAATAATTCGTCGCCGCATGTACTCAGACAAGCGATTAATCGTCACAGTACTAGTAGTTTAAGTCCAATTGATTTGTAGAAATTCAGCTATGCGATAATTATATGTGCAGTTTTGTTTTGCGCACCCAGACACGAGCAAAAGTTAACCAATAGATTTTCTGAACTACAGCATTCGTATTACTTATATGCAAATTGAGTAAGGGTCACAGTGTGAGTTGCGTTCGCAAATAACAAAGTGTCAAATTATTTTGAGCGCCGTTCGGAATAAATTTAGTCAAAATCACACACAGAAACACACACACAACACACAAATACTAGTACTCAATACATATCGCGATTGACCAGTTATATAGTTGAACTACACACACAAGGACGAAAATATGTAAATACAGGTCACAGTTCGACTTTGCGGATCAAACGTTGAAGGCGTCTTTGTTCCAACACAGAGAAGCAATAGGCGTTGTGTTTTGAATCGTCATTAAAACCTAAATTTATTACAAATAAAAACTTAAGTTTATACATACAATGTACGATCATTGTTACTCCAGCGGTCGGTTGGCAAGGGGACGATGTTTCTGAAGCCAGCCATAGCAGGAGCGAGCGAGCGAACAAAAGCGAACTCGAGCGAGCGAACGAAAGCGAACGCGAGCGAGCGGAAAAAAAGCGGTCGGTTTCCGGTCGGAAAGCAGCGAGCGGTCGGAAATTAAGCGATAAGCAGTCGGCAAAAAAGCGATAAAAGCGGGAGGTTGAGCGGAATGAGTACTGTACATGATGTCTAATAAATATATAAAATTTGAACATAATCAGTCAAAGCATGTTAGAGATATGGCACAAGAACCTCATTGATTAAAACAAAATGACCATTTTGAATCTGATCTGAAAAAAAGAAAATGACACGCAACAAGATCCTACAATGTCCAATGTACTGAGTACCAAGAAGGAACAAAATCCATCTGTAAACAGCTGAGAAATGTTCGATTTTGATGATTTTTCAATACAAAAATGACCGCACAAAACCAATCTATAAGTCACTGTTGCTGCGTCCGAACGGGGTCTAATAAAGTTTATGGCTAGTTTAAGATAAGCTATACTTTTATGTATTTTCAGTTTTTTTATTTACTTGTGGTTTGTAAGATGCTTTGCTGTTTTAGTGAAGCCTGTATATGGAACTTGTTTCCATGCAATTTTTTAACAAATAAGATGAAATAAAATATCAAAGAAAGCTTAGGGAAGAGTAGGAAATCAAACGGGCGGTGCACCGCAGTCATTACCGCGGTGTACCGCAGAACGCCGGGGAGAGCCGCGGACTGCTTATAATTAGGGGTCTCTACCGCTGTACCGGTCTCTACCGCGGCCCTCGGTAATGTGTGAAATACGTACTTAACAGTTTCTTTGTGATTCCACGAGTCATTGTTTTAAAATCCAATGCTGTAAATGAATATGATATGTGCGCTTGTTTAGTATTTAGTACATGTACATGTATTTAGCGTAACACTGGAATAAAGTTTACAATTGAAAAGAGGACGATTTACAAAGTTTCAACGTATCCAAGCCGTATCCTGGTTCTTGATTGATTTGGCAGTATCATGTTCACCATTTGTGTCACACTCCAGAAAAAATGGCCAGCAAACGAGAAACGGGCGAACTAATCAAAACAGATCAGGCTGTCTGCATTGCACTGACACGATTATTTATTTTCTGTTTTGTTTCACAAATCTTGCCTTGCGCATGTATTCTTGGTTGACAGAATCTTTTTTAAACAAAAGACGTTATTTTTCTGTTACATGTTCGTGTTCCATGGTACTTGTGATTGTGAAAGGCATTTTGAATGAATAATTATTGAGTTTATGATACCGTACGATAACGCTAGCTGGCTTGATTAGAATTTCATTGCGTGTGAACCGCTGAGGTCATTGCCCGTTACTGTGCCAACCGCACGTAGTTCAAAAGCACCTGACGTTGTTTTGTTTGTTTTTTCACTGGAAATGTAAGCGATCGAATACTCAGCGTTCAAAGTACGCTGCCCCGAGTTTGAAATTACAGTAAATTGTAACGCATGGATTTTATTTACATGAAATTTAGTTTATTTCAAAATGATATAGATGTCAAACCATAATTATTATTTGAAATGTTGTTTCTTGACTTGACTTGACTTTTCTGGCTTTAATGTTTTGTGTGTGCGTGTTTGTTTACAATATCATTATCAACAACAGTTATTCAGTTATGAGGCAGTAAGTCGCGGTTTCGACTAAGTGGCGTAGTTCGTTGGCTCCGGACGATTGTATTGTGTTTTGCCGTCAGTTTTAAAGTAGAAAAACTAAGTCTGGTATTATCGCGTATTTAATTGCCCGCTCAATCAGTTGGAGGTGACAACTTAACACCTACAGACCGTCAATTACTGAAATAGAAAGGGTGATAGCAGCCTGACTCGAGGGGTCGACAGGGGTATAAAAAATAAGTTTGCG